TTATCCTTTTTTGGGGCCCGAACAAAATTAAAAACGGAAATTCTACATTTTTTTCTAATTAAAAAGTTACTTTTCAATTTTTAGAAAATATGAAACTATTTTATGAATCAAGAACGAATTTCCTAACTAATCGTATAAAAACGAATATTGGCTTGATATCCGTATTTTTTTTTTTTAATACGTTTTTTCTATCAAAAACATTCGCTTCGCCAACAAAAAAGACGCGAATGGAAAGAAGGAGCTTTTATCTAAAATTGGCAAATGTGAAAACGCTTTTGCCGTGCCCACTTTTACCTTTCTTTGGGGTCCGAAAAAAATTAAAAACTGAAATTTTACAAATTTACAAATTTGCGTGCAAATATTTTATAAAAATTTACAAAATTGGACTTGATTTCCGTTATTCGTACGAGCACTTTTCTCACCGGAAGTTGCATATTTGGCGCGTTCCGACTGGGGTTTTCACAAAAATTTTATATGCATGGGATTCAAAATCGTATGAGGCGTCGACTGCGGTACTTTAAAAAAAATCGGAATAACGGTTAAAAAGGGTTTTTAGAACTTTCAAGAAGATTAATGGCTGTTTTGCTATTTCTTCCGTCTAAAATTTTTCTTGATTAAATTTTCAAAAAAATATTTTCCGTTTCTAATGGCTGCTGAATTTCTACGTCGTTCCCCATTCGGTTTTGAAAATTTCAGCCTCTAAAAATAGCGAAATTTCCGTGGAGAATTTGCTAATTTTCCGCGAATTTTTCTGGAGAAGTTTTGGGATCTGGAAAATTTCTAAAACGGGTTTTAAAGAGCTAAACCTGTATAGGTTTCTCCCAAATATAAAAATATTAGGTTAAGTAATTTTTTCATGCCGATATTTCATGTTTCCAGGCCTCTCAAACTGTCGGCACGCTACTTCGTTTGTAATACTCGAAATGTTTGTTGTAATACTTGAATTTTCGAAATTGTTTTTCGTTTGATACTTTTTCTGGGTGTATAATGAAATCCCGATATACAAAATACCGAAATACAGAATCCCGAAAGACATTATCCAGATACGACCAAATCCCGACCATACATAATCCCGACAAGACACAATCCAGACTAGAAATCCCGACAAAATATAAAAATAATTAAAAAATCGCGCGACTTCGCCAACAAAAAAGACACGAATGGATAGAAGGAGCTTTTGTCTAATATTGGCAAATGTGAAAACGCTTTTGCCGTGCCCCCTTTTATTTTTTTGGGCTTCGAAACAAATTAAAGATTGAAATTTTACACATTTTTCTAAATAAAAAGTTACAATTTAAGTTTTTAGAAAATCTGAATCTATTTTGTGAATCTAGGAGGAATTCCACAACTAATAGTTTAAAAACGAATAATGGAAATTGCGTGCAAATATTTTATAAAAATTTATAAAATTTGATTTGATTTCCGTTAGTCGCAAAACGCTGGAAGTTACACTTTTGGGGCGTTCCACAAAAGTATTATATGCACGAGATTGGAAATTCGATGACGCGTCTATATTCTTAAAAAAAAAATCGGAATAACGGTTAAGATATTTAAGACCTTTCGAGAAGGCAACGGTCGCTTTTCCTGTTTCTTGCTCTAAAATTGTTTTCCGACAAATTTTTTCTAAAAAAAACCTTTATACTTTCAAATAGCTAACGAAATATTATGCTATTCCCCATCCGGTTTCGAAAGTTGCAGCCCATTAAAAGACCGACTTTTGAGTCGAGAACTCGCTGCTCGAGGATACTTTTCGGCGAAATTTTCTGATTAAACTTTAGGCCAGGGTTTGAAAGTGCTGTAATTTTTTTATTTTATTTACTTTTGATATTATTCAACTTCGGCATATCATAATAGCAAAAGCAAAGCAATAGAAAAAAAAAAATAGCCTATGCTTGGCTGCCGCTTTGCTGTGAAGCTCCGACAGCTATCGAATAGTTCATAAGCAATTTGCGGCAGCACAGCGACAGCATAGCCTCAGCAAAGCAACAGTAGTTTGTTTATTGCTTTGCTGTGAAACTACAAATAACAAACTACAAACCCAGTGGGAAAATTTAATGTATATTAATCGAAAAAATAATCAGTAAAACAACCCTTTTCATATTCGAAAATGCATTTTTTCCCCAGGCCTATGTCCTGAGGAAAGTGGGGCATTCAAGTGTGCATTACCTAGTATCGAGAAATGAATGTGTTTTAATATGAAATTTTTGGAACTTTTTGAATACATTAGAATGCTGGTTACATAGTTAGCAATAATATAACCGAGAACTCATAAGAAATACATTACATTATTTATCACGCATGTAATGCATTACAACTTTTCCGGTTGGGTATGTATGTATGTATGAATTACGTATGTTTGTATCAAGGCGAATTAATACAAGGTGGTGTTATTAGACCAGCAGATTCCTTCTTCTTCCATTCGCAACAACAAAAATAACAACAACAAAAACTCGTCAGTCACAGTTACTCGTACATGCATATGAATGCATGGGCGTATGAGTGATTATTATATTTAGACATTAAGTAGCAATAGGCGACAAAGTTTTAAATTTTAAGTACGTACATACATACTATGTATGTATGTATGTGCTATTTAGTTTTGTAAGCTCTCCATATATTGTTTCTCAAATAATGGCAATTCATTGATGGCTTTATT